CTGAAGATGTGATTAAAATAGGGGTTTCCTGTCATTTTTGACTGCTGAAAAGAAATAGGTGATTATTAGCTTCAGTTTGACTCATAAGTTGTAAAGTACTTGGCTCAACTCTGAAGTGAGAGGAACAGCACTTCAGGGTATTTATAGCCATTACCTAAAGAAGCTTGATTTTCATGATCTAATTACTTCTTGGTCCATGGTTGAATGCATTAAAACAGTGATTGAAGATTCCCTTAAGGAAATGTCTGCTGTTGGGAAAAGCAACGCCAAGAAAAGCCCCATTTCATCTGTTAAATAGAGGTAAACAGAGACAAGGGCATGCATGGTGGGATGTGAGTGCTGCCCTGTTCCAGACATCAGCAGCAAATACTGTCAGCAGCAGCTGATTTAGAGGAGGTTTGCAGAGCAATTTGCCAGTGTGCCTTTAATTGAAACAATCAGTTTTGGTTTTCTTCCTACTTAACATGCTTTGCAATAAGAAGTGTTGCATAACAGTTGTATTTGTTCACTACTAACCTTTATCGAGGCTTGGCTAATTTTGGTGATTAGCAGACCTTTAGGGAACAGCACACAATTCATGGCAGATGCATCATGTCAGCAACAAAACTCAGGTGAAATTCAGAATTAAAATGGGGTTTGTATTAGAACATCTGCATTTTACTCCAGATCAGTTGCCAAAAAGGAACTACTTAAAATCAGTGGTTCAGCTAAATATTAAAAATAGTAGCCCTTGTGTCTCAAGCCTTGCCTTCTGCAAGCATCAAAAGCTGTGGTTTAGTGGGGTTTTGGTCTCTTAAGAAAAAGGAACTTTTACTCACAGAACAGGCAGATGACTTGTTCCTGTAGTGTGCATGACCATATAAAGTATTCAAATGGAAAAAATTATTACTTCATGACTACTTTGTGATTCATGGTGTCTCAGAGTCATTAGTCTGGTCCAGTGTCATTTTCTTTCATATGTGGCTCCAAAGCTACAGAGGGGAACAGCAGTAAGTTCACTGGTGCTTCTTTCGGTGGGCTGCAAATAAGTTTAGACACTTCAAAGTTGTGGGGTAAAATATTTGGCATATAATGGGTGGGAAAATAGACTTGCAGGGGAAGTTAAATAGGGCTCACTGAGCAAGAAGCTTCTCAGTTTTCTAGGAATTTCCACCATTTGTGTTTCTGGCCAGCCTGTGTACAGAGGGTGGTAACAAGTGAGATTTTCTGTCTTGGCAGGGCAATGCCTGGTGGCTGCTTCCATAAATCCTGTGAGTATCTGCAGCCTAGACATGTTTTAGAGCTTGCATGCTTGGGAAGATAGCATTCAGTAATCCCAAGATTAATTTCTAATTAAATCCATAAATCCTGTGAGTATCTGCAGCCTAGACATGTTTTAGAGCTTGCATGCTTGGGAAGATAGAAATTAATCTTGGGATTACTGAATGCTAATTAAAGGAAGTAAGTTTGATTCTTAGTATTACTAAAGAAAAATACAAATTATCTGTAAAGACTGGAGGCAAGGCACTAACTTGCCTGCCTTTCTGTAACAAAGCCAGTATCGAAACAGTTAAAGTGATCTTTAGTTGACTCTTAACCTAGGGGTAGCAGAGTCCTTTTCCAGGAATGCAGGGTGGAGAGGAAATCCAGTGCTTTCTCCCATTCTGGCTGTTTTTTCACACCAACTCAAGCTCTTTATCAGAAGCTGATGTATTTAGCGACTCCCCTTTCCTGACCAGATGAGTTGGAGGCAGGAGCGGTTTTTGAAAGAGCAACTCAGAGCTCAGAGCATCAGCAGGACCGGGAGCCCAGCCAGGCACAGCAGAGCTCCTGGGGAGGCTTCGCTGAGCACCCTCCGGGGCTGCTGGAATCGTTCTCCCGCACAAGGACCCACACATCCTCCTTGGCAGGAACAAAGGGACTGTCTGGGAAACTGAGGCAGCAGCTGGGCCATCCTAGTGACACTCCTTATAGCAGAGAGGTTCAAGGTTGGTAAGTTTGTCTGCAGGTAGTACAAAGTACAGCTCGGCTCGGAAAGGGTAAAGGATCCTGTAGGCAGTTTGTGTTACAACATGTTTGCATTATCAAGTAGAAACCTTAGTTAAAATTTAAGACACTGATAACATGGAATTGGTTTTAGCTGTTACGAGTCACTTATTTCAAGTTACAATCTAGATCTGATCACTATCAATGTTATTTAGCAAACTTGAACATTTGATACACTGTAATCAAGCTTTCTTAAATATTTAGAGATATGTTTGATCTTTGGGAATGATTTTATTCCTCATAGTGCCTTACTTCAGAGAAATGTAATGCTATAAGAAATATCAGAAGCCTCTAACAAGGTCATTTTAATAGATGGGGCAGGGGAGGGATAGAACAGTTACCAGTGGTCAGTAACTTGGATTGGTGCTAAAGCTCAGATTTGTCATTACTGAGGTTTCTGCACTGCCTGCTAGATAGATGTTCAGCCTGTTTTGTCTGCATCTAAAATAGTTGGTAACATTCCTCAGGCATAAGTCTGGTTATTTTGCTAGTATTCACTTTTTGATGTGGCTAATCATACTGGCTCACATTCTTTACAACTGATGTAGTAACAAGTTCATTTACTATATCTGGAAAATTCTGTGAAAGACAATTTAGATATTGCTTTGAAAATTTTTGGCTTCACATTTTCAACTCTAATCTTCTGCATGGATTAAAAGTTGACACTTGTTCCAGATTCTACACAGTAAAAACTTTCCCAAAGTTGCATCTACGTAGGCAAATTCAGGAGCCAGTCTTTTTAGTTCATGTCATGCTGTAGCCTGAAGTTTACCAAAACACCAGTTGCAGGGCTTGTTTCCGTATTGCCTGCAAAAGTGCAGCCAGATTGACATCGAAATGGAGATTTTATTGTAATTAGGTCCAGGGACACTGCAGTTTTACAGTTATATTGATCTGAGCTTTAGTGCTGAGACTGAGGTCAAGACTTAAGTTCCTTCTCCAGCAGGTTCAAGTTACTTTTTTTCAGTGCCTAGTTAACTTACACCATCCTTTCTTTTTAAATATAAAGAGGTTTTTAAACCTGTTGCATATGTTAGATTAAACCAGATTGTGCTGTGAACATGAGTCATTACAGATCATTCTGCATGTGAAGCTGTGCTCTTTGGGTGGATACTGAAACTGATAGGGCTTGACAAATTCAAATAGCTGCAGGATTTCCCCTTTTGTTCCTTTCCAGGAAGGCATCATTTCACCTGCTCACCCAGTAATGCTGTTAAAGTTGTTAATTTATAGCCTGCATCTAGTCATTTGGGATGAAGGCTGCAGCAGCCTTAGCATGTTTTCAGCTCTTAGAAAAGGAGGTGGGGAATGTGTTGATCGTTGCCATCAGCACCAACTGCTCCTCCTTTTGGGCAAGGAGAGGGTTGCTGTCTTGTAAAGATTTCCATTGTGCTTGGTTCTGACTCAGCTTCTATTCCCCCCCCCTCGAAATTTCACCACGTTAAGAGTTTGCCAGTGGCCCGATGGAGACTGGCAGGTCCCCAAGTTCCTCACCACACTGTGCCACTCCTAGAGATGGGCAGAGTCAAAGCACCCTCAGTGCCACAGCAGGTCTGTCCCAGTTGGTCTGACATGGCTGTTTGTCAGGCACTGGGCAGCTGGATGCAGCTCAGTAGGACAAAGATCAGTTTGGGCAGAGCAGGCAAGGGGCACAGTAACATTAGCATTGTTCAACAGTCATGCTGTATGCACGCAAGGCTAATTTTAAACACTGGTTTCCTGAAGCTTCTAAGAAGTGGAAGTGGTTAAGGGTTTCTCAGGTTAACTGGTACATGAAACTTCTCTTTACAGGTTTGTACTGTAAACAGCTAATCACTGCCACAATGACATCTTCAAGCTCTGCCCAGCATCCAGCAGCCGAGAATGCCTGCAGAATCACACTCGGACAAGTTAACCAGGTAATTATCTTTCCCACTTATCTCAGTAATTTCTTCCATCAAATCAAAGCTCTCCAAGTACATTTAAGTAAGAAGAGTTTAGCTTGATGGAGTAGGGCTTTTATCCTGAGGAGTTGTGTTAGCCTTCACTATCAGATCAATGATTTATGAACATTTTAAAGGAGGAAGAAGGAAAAAAGCAGTTAAAACTGGCTATACAAGAAGTTGTATAATGCATGTTTTTTGTGCTGGACCTATACTTGAAGAATTCCACATACAGCTTTCCTCCTAGTACAGGACTCTGACAGTTGTGTTGGAGCTTTGTAACCTTGTAATGCATCCCTGTGCCTTTTCTGGAGTCAGGTATTGAACAAGTAGTACTCTCATTATTGACTATTCCTAGAGCATCCCTGGAACAAGAAGTAGTTGTAGCTGCAAGCCAAGGTCAATGTGGCCAGTGTGTGGTTTAAGTATAGTAGTCCGGCTCTGTCACATCATGTTGGTAGCCAGTTAGAGAACAGAATTTTGCAAACCATAACTGGAAAACTCCGGTCTAAAAAGCAGGAAGGTTTCTCTAAGACAAGCATCCAACCTCCCAGAGCCAGTTCATTGCAAAAAAGCTTTCCCACAATATGAGGGGATGTGGCAGGAGTGGAAATAAGCTGATGGGAAGTAAAGAGATCCTCCCATTTGGGGCTTATTTTAGAAGCTTTGAAATGTAGCCAAGTCCTGTGCAGAATTGATGTATATGCTTATTTATTCAACTCAGTCTGCATGAAAAAATAAGTAAATAGGCTCTGATATTAGTAGCAAAATATTGATTGCCAACACTCAGTGTCCTATGCAGTGTGGAATAAACACTTCCATTTTTGCTGTACTGTAATAGCTAAGGGCCCATTTTAAAATGATCAAGCTAACTAGGTTGGTTCTTTAATCAGAAAGAGATGCATAACAAGTTACTTCAAAACCCATTTGAGAGCGGTCATTAGAGAAAGGAATGAATGCAAACACATAATTTCATCTTATTAAAAATCATGTGCTGATACAAGCACTTATTTCAGTTGTGCTAAGCTTTTTTTCTACTGAAAAAGCTGTTCTTGAGAAAGAGACTTGGAGCTGGACACAAACTGTTCTGTTTCTTGAAAATGCATTTAACAGACATAATAATGAGAAAACAGGCAGACCAGACATATTCACAGAGGAGATTAATTTTTTACAGAATTAGAAAACAGTGGAACAAATACCATGCCAAGATACTGTCTGATAGCTGGGTGACAAATTATATTTATGACAAGCAGCCAAAAATCACCTCTCCTTACCTTGTGTGGGAAAATGGTGCTGCAGCTCTAGCTGCCTCTTGAGGAGCTGTTGTAGGGCTTCCTTTTCTCTGGAAGAGAATTAGAGACTGCAATTGCATTTATATAGGCAGAAAGGAAGGGTGGGTATGAGACCCAGCTGAACCCACCTAGCTTTGATAGGTGAAGGCCTTTCCTAGCTAGCACAGATTACATGCCTTGAGAGCATAAGGCTTGTCAAAGTGTAGGGGAGACAGCAGTGAGCATCGTGTGCTGAGGACTGGACTTTCCGTCCTGTGACAGATTGAAATATCTTGTTTATTAGCATCTGATGGATAAGGAGAACGGAGGAAGAGATTCAGTGCGGGAAACGTGTGTTAGTGTCTAATACTGTACGCAATTGTGTAGCATTCAGAGAACAGTGAGGGCTTTCTGATATTTTTAGGGAACACAAGGCATCAGATCATGTGGTGGCACTCTCCTAGGAATTGTTAAAATTCTTGTGGAATAGATGAAGTAGCGACGTAGGGGGAAAGCAGCTATTTAAAACTTGCTACTGTTTTATATAGCATCATCTGTCTCATCTGTTACTCAAAGCTGCTTGGGTGTGTGGGTGAAACCTAAAGGGATTATGGAGCAGTTGCATCGTTCCCAGAGTGCTTTATATTTGATATAATAAAGATTTTGGTTGATGAGTGAGATCCACAGAAAGTGCAGGTTGTGATCCCTGGTGTTAATTAACCACACCTGGTGTTGAATGCAGCCTTGTTATTATGTGCCTTTTCATGGATCCTAATAAATACATACTCCTAAGGTCTGCACAGAGCAGACCCGGTTTGGTCACTGCACTAATTGAGAAAATTCAGGCATGCTGCTCTTGAAGTGGCAATCTGAATGCACCCTCATTGCTCCTAAATATATGACTCAGTACATTTGGTTAGTCACTGCCTAGGACTCCATACCAAGGGCCTGAGTTTCCAGTCTTCCCTCACAGGATGAATGACATCAAAGTTAATGGAACAATGTGAGTGATTAAAGCCTTTAGAGCTGGCTGCCCAAACTCCTTTTCTTTTTTTTTTTTTTTTTTTTTTTTGTCTTACACTTGAGTCAGAATGATTGTGCTGATTTTCAGTCCTTCTAACTTCTTTTTAAGCATTTGTCCGTGCAGATTACTTGTAAAAAAAGAATACCAGCCTCCAGGAGGTTAGCCTGAGGCTAGCAGTGTTTCTCCACACTTCCAACTCACACCAGAGTTTCTCAGCTCTGTGCTTGGCATGACAGTCTTGACTTGGGCAACTTGGGTTTGTCAGCCGTGCCAGAGTGACGTGCTTTCTGTCATTCAAAACAAAACTCTTGTGCTTTGTGTTTTAGGTGCGACCCAAATTGCCGCTTCTGAAGATTCTACAGGCTGCAGGTGCCCAAGGTGAAACCTTCACACTGAAAGAGGTGGGAACAGTTTCTGGGCACTGAAACTGTGCCTGTCACTGGTTGGTTGGGACAAATGGCTCTTTGTGGGAAGGGATGGCATTGGCTTCTAATTTTTGTGTACTTTGAAGCCCTATCTGCAAAATAGGGATACCTTACCTGTAGGGCTGTTGGGATTTGGTTGATTGTAAATTGTCTTGAGAGCCCCCCAGGGGAATTGGAATAGGAGTGTGAAATATTAAAGAAAATTATCCTGGAAAACCAGAAACTTCTTTAGAGAAAGGAGAGATGGGATAGCCACATTCCTGAGAGCGTGTAGGAGATTCTGTTTCATTGTCCTGCTCTCTGCTCAGTGCATGAAAGCCTTAAAAATAAAATTCTAGTTGATATTTTTCTTTAACTTTCCTTTGAAATGGCTTGTCAGCTAAACCTAAGAGACCCTGTGAATCCATTTATTTTAAGATTAAAATGCAATATGTGTACAAGATTAAAAAAATGACACTGACTGTGATTTACAAGAGTACCCTGTCTGCAAAGAATTAAATGCAGTGGTTTTTCATTATGAATGTGTCAAATATTCCTGCAGAGCCCTGTGACTTATTTTAAACACTTATGCATTTAAATAACTTATTTAGCTTCTAAAAATTTTTGCAAAAACAAATTGAATGGTTTAAATGGGGGGAGTTGAGTATTAAATGCAGGTTACTTGTATAGATTAACATTTTAAGGCAGTTAAGTCAGTTTTTTCCGCAGTGAATGGAATGCTGTTAGCAACTTTTTGGTGACACTCTCATTCGGGAGGGTCACTTTGGTGGGTAATGGGGTGTGGAGCCTGCCTGTATTGTGCTTGATGCACTTAGTTTTTTCTTCTTGTACTCTGGATTCCTCACTGTAGCTGGCAGTGTCCACTGGCTCTCAGAGGATGTTTCCTCTCCATCCTTCTTTGTGATACTAATGCACTTATTTTTGCATCTTGCAAACTGTCTCCTGAGGGACAGCACTGTAACTTGTGGTCATCCTTTAGTAGCAGCTTATGCTTTTAACTGGGGATACCTTCTGCCTCCTCCCCACCCATTTCCTTCTCTTCTTTACTCTGACCTGAATAGCAGCAGTCTCCCATCTGCAGCTGTCACTGAGGGAGACTGCCCAGATAAAAGTGTTGTCACCGATGTCGTGTTTCGTTTTAGTGTGGGATAGCAGAGCAACTTCTTTTTATCCATCTTCAACTTGGTTTTTCTTCTTGTCAAGGGTTAATAGTTACAAACCTTATAGCAATACGGTAAAACATAACTCCCTTGGTTTGGAGGCACCGACAAATTGCAGATGCGCGTAATAAGCTGGTACTATGTGACTTGCACGGTATAGGGTTGCACTATCATAAAATTTAGTATCATAAACTAAAGCAAATTTCCAGGATCTTTGGTGGTTTAGTTTCAACTGCAGATATGGCTAATGGTATGTTATGTATCCACAGGTTATGCATTACCTAGGACAGTATATAATGGTGAGGCAGCTATACGACAAAAGGCAACAGCACATGGTCTATTGTGGAGGAGATCAGCTAGGAGAACTGCTGGGACTGGAGAGCTTCTCTGTAAAAGATCCAAGGTAGGAAAAAGTGACCTTTAACATATGTTGTATTATAGAGGTTGCTGAGACAGGAGACTCTTGGTGTCAGTGTTTCTGTTCACTGTCGCCTAAACCTCCGTGAATACCAAGCGGCCTGCTTAGTGGCTTATTGCTAATGCATTTGACAAGTTTGACTTTAGCGCCTAAGTTCCGAAGAGCCAGTTCTGAATGGTCCAGGCAGTGAGCTGCTTGAGGCGACATCTTTCCCCACTTTTATTTCTGCATCTTCTCAAGCCCTTGATGTCATGTTTAAGTGAAAATCTTGATCCTTCAGCTAAGTTCTGAGCTAGACTTCTCTGTAGCAAGCGTTTAGGAGTGGCAGAAAACCCCCACTGCAGTTTCCAGTGTCTCTCTGGATAATAAAAGAGAATTTCTGTCCTTGGTTTAAAAGGGTAACGCTGTTCGGTTTTGTGAGCTTACTCAGCTGTTGCCTTCTTTCCCACAGCCCAGTCTATGACATGTTGAAACGGAACCTGACTTCTGCTGCAATGGCAGGTAGGTTTGTCACAGAATGGGCAAGTATATTCAATATAATGTTGATGTAACTTGGGTAAGTAATGGTATTCAGAAAAGAGAAATGTTTCTGAAGCTATAACAAACTGCTCATGAAGGCTTTGACAAGACAATCTCTTTGAGTATGTGTCTTTTCTGTGTGTCCACCATCCGTAGCTGTGATATGAAATCAGTTAGCTGTTTGAGTGACGTGGCTGCCTATAACCAATGGCCAAACCTCGGAGCAGCAGACACACTGTCTGGAAGCATGCTGACAGAGCTAAATACTGTGGCTGTACAAATCAACATGGCTGAAGTATCCCGTCCAAATCATTATTGATTTCTCAGTCTTTTCTCACTTTCCAAGCATGCTGCGACTTCTCGCTCTCACCTTGTTTTATACTTGCATAGGCTTGAGACTGACTAAGAGTGCTGGAAACCCAGCCTAGTTCTGCAAGCCAAAGAGAACTGCACTCTAATTGAACACTTGAACCTTTAAAGGTCACTGTTACTTTCCCAGCTCGTAAGAGAAATTAAATCTATCTACTTCAAAAGTCCTTCAGTCATAATTTAAAATTTATTCTTAAATTAATCTCAGCTGATGGCTTCCTTGCAGCCAGTTTCCATTGAACGGCTGGTAATCTTGATTTGAAAAACAAAAAATTCTGATGAAACTACAAGTGTGCAAATCATGAAGGAGCTGCACCGGGAGAGTTGTGGAGTCTTGTGCCATACTTCCTGGGGTCTCTAAGCAGATAATATGGACTAAGTTCTTCATAAGGGCTTAATCTATTTTTACACATGTACATAAAAGCTTGTGCAAATTTAGAAACTGAGAAAACATGGCCCTAAACTGCTTAGTCCTCTGCTTTGAGCCATGTATTGGTGTCTCCGAGGTCCCCCTCCTTTCTCCATTTTATATAGAAGAATCTTACTAAGTAGACTCTCATCTAAACACGTTACCTACAGAATAACTGTGTGAGTGCCGTTTCCCTCGCTGGTGATGCCCTCGCCTCTTTCCTGTAGGCAGTGTATGTGGAGAGCAAAGGATCCCAGCGAAACACTCTCCTCTGCTGCTCTGTCCCCTTCTACTTGGTGTGTGCACATGGCTGTGTGTGTGTGCCTGGGTGTGCATGTATGGTCCACTCATGGTGTAACTATTTTTAAACCTGCCAGAGGAAATACAGTTCCTTTAGGGAGATGATCACTGAGTTATACCACCGTGTCTGCATGTGTATGTGTGTGTGACTATAAAACGAAACAAGCTTGGCAGACCAGACCTTTGATGAATACATAGTGAGGATGACTCTAGGTATTGTTTTTGCTTCATCACAACACAGGAATAACTAGAAGTGCCATAGAGCTTAAAGAGGTCTTCGTGTGTCATGTTTTGTAATAGCTGCTCATATTCATTATTCATCACAACACAGGAATAACTAGAAGTGCCTTAAAGAGGTCTTCGTGTCTCATGTTTTGTAATAGCTGCTCATATTCATTCGCCACATCAGTGCTTATCAGCACATCATTTTGCAGCTTATCTCAGCCACTTCTTTAAAGTACGCTTGTAGAAAGAAAAGTGACTGCAGTACATCTGGGTAATAAAGTCTAAGCTCTTACACAGTATTGTTTATCAGATGGTGTCCTTGCTTGGCTAACTTTCACTCAGGTATGACTCATGAGGTGTATTTAGGAATACCTCACTTCAGGGACATTTTGTGTTCAGTTTCTAGTCTATATTGGCTTGGAAAAAGGAAGCCTTCCAATAAGTGGAGTGTCTTTTCATGCAGTGTTTAAGGCTAGTTTGAGTTATTTATAAAGTGTTGGAAGGGTAGGTCTTTACCTCTTCTAATGCCCCTGCAGAGCAAAAGAAATTATGGATGAGCCAATTGTCTTCTGTTTTCCTTCAGGTATTAAATAATCAGTGACTGCAGGAGCTGTAGGGTGGTGGAAAGGAAGAAAGGAAAGCTGAACTAATGCACGGAGGGCAAAGAATGTGGGATAGAGCCATGTCATTTTGTGGTCCTGTGTTTTGGTCCATTTTATGGACCCCTTTCTGATCCACTTTTCTGCCTGTAGCAGCAGTTTTCAGTGTCTTTATCTCAGTTCCACGATTCATGCTGTGAATCGGAGTGTTCATGTCTGCCTGGCAGTCAGCAGGGAATTTCTCTGCTAAATTGAAAGGGGAGCAAGCAGGAACCATCCTTGCATCTTTTGTTCTCTAGCAAGTCATTCTGTTTAAAGAGTAGACTTCCTAAGTGCAGCTCTCCTATTATGTAGAAAGATTTCTGTTAATTTGATTGTTCTTGCTATTTAGGTTGGCCTTTTAATTAACTCTTGGGGCCAGCGTAATCGTCTGGATTAAATTGTGTTATGGATGTGTACACAGTTACCCAGGAAAGAGCTTACTGTGCATGGAATTTTCCCTTCTTTAGTCTAGTCATTGTTCTTCATGCCCACACCCTTTAAGAAAGGCAATTTTCCTGTCTCAGCCTAAGCTGAAAGACATGGGTGTCCTCGGGTATTTATAAAAATCTTACTCTTCTCTGTTTACCTTCTTCAGCATGGACCTGATCCAGCCTTCGGGTGAGAGTCCCCATGCTCTGTTGTTGCTCTGGGTTTCTGCTTCCATGCAGACCTCTCGTGTAAAGGACGTAGAGCTTGCTGAAAAGAATAGTTTTTCACATTGGGAAGAAGGTTCTTGTATGCTGTGAGGTTTCATCAGGCTTCATCTCCGAGGAGGCACAGACTCTGTATTCCATAGGCGAATGCCTTCATATGTACCTAGCGAAGCCTAGGGGATACTGGAGTAATGCCTCTCTAGGAGATAGCCAGCTCTCTAAGGAAGAAAGGGCTCTGTTTCTCTTAAAGGGTTACTTAGAGGTCTGCCAAGCCTGGCTCGTTGGTTGCTTGCTGAAGACCCTCTGTGTTGTGAGAATGGTTATTACCAGGGAAGGTTTTTTCTTTTGTTTTACCTGCCATCTAGATGCTGCACAGAATCTCGCAAAGGAACAGAGCGTCGATAAGCCAAGCCAAGACCAGCTGAAGGTAAACCCACTGCCTGGTGGTTTCTTTTGTTGTACAGAGTGCCCCTTCTCTGTACCTGTGCATGGTGGACTGCCAGAACTTTGTGCTGCTTGGCTGCCAGGTCCTCACCTTCCTGAAAAGTTCTTGGAGTCCACAGAGCAGGGACAGAGTGACCCTTCTCTGTTCTCTTCATAACAGAGTACCAGTCTCTGAGCGCGTTTCTCTGGGGTGTAGCACTTCTAGTCCTCAGTTCCTCCAGCGTGCTCTGTATTTTCATGTCTTTCCCCCCCTCTCTCCCATCTCCTCTCCGAGTAGGAATTGCCAAATAATTAAGCTTTCTAAAATGCGTGAACGAGTTTTGTGTTTAGTAGGATTGTTTTCAGAAGCTTTCAGGCAGAATCTGAAACCTAGGAAAAATCTTTGCACATTCAAACTTGTTTCCAGGTATATTTTGGGATTAAGGTAGTCTGATCCGGGAGGTGTCTGTTCACATTGGGGGCCAGAGAGTCACAAAGATCACAGTATTACTGCATTAAAGATGGCAACTTTTGGACTTTTGCCAATCTTAAGATTTTTCCTAGGTTGCAAGTATATTGTTTGTGCTGATTACAGATGCATTAGCCTTCTTAAAGGGTTAATAGTGTGTAGTTTTTGTTCAGAAACTTTCATTTCTCTTCATAACTTCTTGGTCTTGTACTGCAGCTGGTGACTCGGAATAGAAGTGCTACATCCCCTTGTCCCTATACGCTCTGATGGACTAACATCTGCTTTTTTCCTTCCTTCGTGCAGTTTAGCCGTCAAGAAGGTTCCGACACTGGCATCATGGAGGGTGAAAGCAATGCTTCTGCTTTGTCTACCTCAGAGCAAAAATGTGAGAATTATGAAGGTGAGTGGAGCTTTTCTGCAGTACCACAATGTGTACGAGCTCTTCTGCTCCTTCTCCAGTGTGACACATTGAGCTCTGCATCAGCCAAATGCTGGAGGAGTGTGTTGGGAGACGAATAAAAACCTGTTGTGGAATATAATCTTTAAAACCCATCATTTTATGGTAAAGATTGAGAGAACCGCAAAGTTCGCCAAAGGTATTTTATGATAGATGCGTTTTCTAGCTTGGATATTTGGTCTCATAAATAAACAAACACTTTGAATAAAAAGGCAGGTTAAGCCCCAAAAGCACATCTATCACTAAACAATGCCATGAAAAAATCTTACAGACCTTGCTGAAGGGTATTTTAAATGCTGAAATTATCCTCGTATCTATTTATCTTCCCAAGGGACTCTCTCCTCTGATTACATAGAACACAGCCTGAGCAGTTTACAGTCATTACCTGCAAACCAAACAGGGAACTGAATAACAATGGAATTTTTTTTTCTATCCAGCTTAAGTGTAATACAGCTCCTTCATATTTAGACATTTCCTTTGGTTTAACGTCTGGGGATTTCTTGCTGGTTCACTCATATGGATTTCTGATGTTACGGAAGCAATTTTCCTGTTTTTCTACTTTCTATTCTCACGTCGTTCTCATATCAAGGAACCTAATTTGTAAACCCAAATCTTCTTTGCAAGTGCGGGTATTTCCAGATCACATGAGAGCAGAAGATATTTTCCTGGCTGCATGTACAAAGGAGGTAGAAACAGTCCTTGTCTGTGCCTTTGAAACTCCTGGCACTGAAGAGAGAGATTCAAGGTTATCTTGAAATTCAGACTACTGAGTTTAGGATCATAGACTAAACTGCACAGGCTAAAACGGAGGCTGAAGTGTGGGGTTATGGAGGACGGATTCTTTCCTTCCTGCTTCCTATTTTAAGCCTGGTTTCGGAATTCAGGAGCTCCCATCACTGGAAATTTGAACCGAATTCAAACCAGTTCTTTCTGCATCTTAAGTCACTCAAGAAATCCACTCAGCGTTGACTTGGGTAGAGCTCTGAAAGAAGTGTTTGTGTTTCTGTATTGAGTCTTAAGGTAAAGCTAAAGAGAATCTGTACCGTTATAGAGACACTGGGATGCTTCTCTGACCTCTGATGGCTGTGCAGTGACTATTTTGCCACGTTCACTTGGGTAGATACACGAGTACAGATGTGCGGCAGGTCTAACATCCCAGTACACTCATACAAACCCCAAAGCTCTTGGCAGTAACTGGCTGTAAGGAGCAAGACAGATTTCTAAAATCGGCTGGGGCCAAATTTTTCTCTGCTAGTCTCTTAAATAATGTAGGTGTGGCATGACTTAGATTCTACTTGGCTCTTACAGACAAAGACTTAATAGAAAACCTCTCTAAAAGCAAGAAGCCTAAACTGGACCTAGTGTTTGAGGAATGGGATGTAGCTGGTCTTCCATGGTGGTTTTTAGGCAACCTCAGAAGCAATTACAAGTCCAGAAGTAATGGATCAACAGATATTCAGACTAACCAGGTGTGTAGACATTTTAAATAGGTGCGCTGTATTCTTTTCCTCTCCTCTTTTGGGTTCCAAGTAAATAAAATATTCTTGTTCTTTCTTTCCCCTTCCCACTCCAGGATTTTCAGCCTCTCCCTTGTGTGTTCCTGTCCCAGCCTTTCACATCAGGTGGTTGGTTACCTTTAGTGTTCTTAAATAACCCAGGCGCTCTCTGAAGGCTGTGTTCAGCCATTGGAGGTCCTTCTGCACTCCAGAGCAGTGGTCGTATTTCAGGAGTTTCCCCTCTTCTGGGTTGAAAGTTGCTATTGCAGGTGGCTGTAGCGTGGTGGCCAGCTGCTGTATGACCAGCTGGCAAGGGGAATGAGTGTAGTGTTGCTTGTAAGAAGGGGTGTCTTTGTGAGAGTAGAGAGCTGCCCCTTTCTCTCCCAGGGGTGACTGGAGAAGCTCAGAAGGCTCTTAGTGAGGAGAAGGGGAGAGGCATCCGCTGTGGTGATGGTCGCGGTGCTGGTACTTCTGCTGCTGCTAACCTGAGCACTAAGTGGTCTCTTCTGTTTCTTCTCCAACAGGACATAGACACTGCCATTGTTTCGGATACTACTGATGACTTGTGGTTCCTCAACGAATGCCCATCAGATCAGAGCAGTGCTGCAGTCAAGGTGGAAACGCTTGACTGTGAGGAAGTGAAAGAAGGTGACAAAAAGGTACCTCTTCAAACAGCCACAGTGCGTGTGTTCCACAGGTTGGCCTTCGTTAACTGATCTCGTGGAAGTGCAAAATCCTTTGATTTTCATCTGCCTTTTGGTGCTGTGCTGGTTTGGGAGGAGCTAGATGTATAGTCGTCCAGAGTTTAAACTGTGTTTGGAAAAGACTGTCACCATTCCATACATGGGGGGATAGCTTTCCTGTGTAGTCAGTCTGCTTGGGTTTTGGTTTAAATGCATGTATTTTCAAGGCAAACGTAATTTAAAATTAATTAAAACTCCAGCAGCAACTTTACTGTATTTCTAGCCAATATCTACAAGGCTAATAAATGAAAAGACTCAGAGAGGAAAATCTCAGTTTACGTTGTGTTAGCATTCAGTGTAAGATAGGCTGAGTCTGCTAGCTGAGGTGGTAGGAGGATCAGTCACAAGAGTAATTATTCAAAGGTGTGTTAGAAGGGTTGAGTTCATGATTTCTTCCATGGAACTTAGTAGGACTGTTCAGATGTGTCTGTGTTTGTAGTTACATGATTCTTGTGTGCATCAGAGAGAGGTATGAGTTGACCAAAGGAGTATCGCCCAGCAATAGTTACTGACAACAGTCTGGAATAGATACTGTACATAAAATGGCTTTTCATTCACTTGTAGAAATAATTTAATTATCACAGCGATTATATAGTCATTTTAGTTTTGATGTACAGTGCCAGGCACATCATAATACAGATTATTGCACCTGTCTAACAATGTTTCCACTCTTTCACGGTTTCGAGGATGCATGTTTGCATGACTTGGAGGATTCTCAGTGCTTAAGTGATGACACAGATACAGAAGCTGCTTCTGAGGTCAGTGTTCCTTGCTTGGGGTGTGCTGCATCCCAGCTGTAGTTGGAAAAACTTGTCCTACAGCTACTACTGGTTGTGGTAGGAAAAGCTGATTCTTGTATGGGTTTCAAAGGCCAAGAAGAGCAAAAAATCAAGCAAAAAATCCTTTTTTGTAACCTGCGTGAAGGAAGGTTGTGTCAGGCTCTGTTAAATTCTAAACTGAATGGGCATTGAGCGCTGGCAGCCCATGAATGCTCTGACCAAGTGTCTCTCCTGGCCACAGAGAGATTAGGTCCTCAGTTTCCAGCATGGTCAGTCTAATTCTATATGAAGTTAGTATTAACAATATCCATGCATGTTTTAATAAGGTTAATTCTGTATTGTCCTCTGAAAGGGAATCTGGAGTATAGTCCTTGGCAGAGATTCGCAAATCTACAGTAAGCACTGTGTAATCACTGAAGTGCTCATACTAAAAAAAAAAAAATCTCATTAGTGGAAATTTCTGTGTCAGGATCAGAGTTCCACTGAGTCCTGGGTATCCAGGCCGGCTCTGAAGCTGTCACTTGTTTTGTGGTAGTCTCTGGGATGAGAAGAGAACCCACTTCTCACCTAACCCCGTATTTCTGAGCTACTTGTATGGCCTTTGTCAGGAGGAGAGCCTGCGTATCTGCTGGTGTAATGTCTTTGCCCTTGCAGTGGCTCTCTGAGGGCAGACCACAGCTCTTTTTTCCTGTTTAAATGAACAAACAAGGTGGCAAGAGAGAACAAGCAGTAATTACTGGGCTGTCACCCCTCCCCACTACCCCATTCCTCTTCTGAATTCCATCATGATAGATATTGAGAGACATCAAATTTGTGTTCTTTCATCTGTCCCTTTTTGCTCCCAATCCTGCAGGCTGCCTTTTGAGGTTTTGGTGTAAGTTAGCAAAAGTGTATCGTGATACTCTTTGCAGCTGATGGCACCCAAATTTTTTAGCATAATTTTCTAGCCTGTGCATGTTTGACAAATTAAGATGTCCCTGGCATTGGACAGCTGAATCATAGCTCTGAGCTTGGGCAGCTCTTGCCCCTGCTATGTGGGGTAATTAAGTAAGCCACTATTATTTGTGCAGATTCAACAGATGCTAAGTGATTAGTGAGTCTGGGAAATATATTCCTGACTGATTCCAGGAGCTCTACCCTTGACTTTAGCGTGAGATACCGAAAATTCAATAAACTGCACAGCTTGAGAACATTGTATTCTTCCGGAGTGCTGAAGGCTGGGAGGAAGGAAGGACAGGTTTTAATGCTTAAGGGATCTGCGTCTGTAGAACACAGAGGGGTAGTAAAATTCTCTTCAGGCTTTCTGAGGTGCTGATAATCAAACTAGCAATCATGCATTCACAAGCTTATACTTGGTAATAAATGTCCTTTTTTTGATGAAGCTTCTTTGCTGCTTTTCCTCTGTAGAGGAAACGAGTTGTATGCAAGAATACACTGACTTGCTACTGTTTTTGTCTGCCTCAGGACTGCTGGCAATGCACCAAATGCAAGAAATTTAACTCTCCAGGCAAACGGTACTGTTACCGCTGCTGGGCCTTACGGAAGGACTGGTACTCAGATTGTCCCAAACTGGCTCATTCTCTTTCTCTGTCCAACATTGATGCTATGCAAAACAAAAACGATGATGAAGGGATAGATGTCCCAGACTGCCGAAGGACTATTTCTGCTCCAGTTGGCCAACCCAAAGACCTGTACGTGGTAGAGAACAAATCACGTGTAGATCCCTGCAGCTCTATTGAATCTTTGGATTTGGCACGAGAATGTGAAAGCAAGGAGTCTCTGTTGCATTTCACTGAGCATAAAAAGGAGGAAGAAATACAGTCTTTAGAGAGTATAAAAAAATTACTGAATCCTTGCTTCTTATGCCATCACAGACCACGGGATGGGAATATTGTCCATGGAAGGACTGCTCACCTTGTGGCCTGTTTCAGGTGTGCAAAGATGCTGAAGAAAAAGAGATCACCTTGCCCAGTGTGCAGGAAAGAGATTGAGATGGTGATCAGGATCTTTATGGGGTAGTTGTGCCAGTTTGGGCCTTCTCCACCAAAAGATAGCACCCAGGTTTTCTTGCACTCGCACAAACCCTAACTTCAGAGCTCAGCCAGTGAATACCAAAGAGAATTAAGATTCAAATCTGACCAAGAACACTGAGGAATTCTCTGCATTAAATGAAGCAGCGTCTACTTTTCGATATCCATTGAAATTCAAGCCCATAGGGAGCAGGGAGTGACTGGCACGTTGGTATCAATGCCCTAGCTTTGAAATTGTCTAAATCTTCTCATTTCAGTTCAGTGATGTCACTAGGATTCTCTGTTCTGACAGCTGGTCCTTGCAGAAAGCAAGTTTTGGAAGGAGTTAACAACTTTGGCTGTTGGAGTGGTATTCTCCAGTAAGTCAAACCCTGTGCAATGCCTTCTGAGGGGGGAGTCTGTGTCTGAGACATATATATGCAGGGGCGGGCAGGGATGGGAAAGGGGGTGGGAGGGAAGGGTAGACCGATGTGTTTGCAATTTAGATAAGCCATTTCTCCAAGAATCTGTTCTCCTGAGGGCACTGAGAAGTAAATAACCTGGTTTCTGAATTATTTTGGTTTTCTTTAACGTAGGTTTGTTAGATAAGGTGAAGGTCCTCTTGCTCCCAGACTTGAAATAAGTCCTCCCAAACTTTTAATCTGTAGCCTTCCCATTCTCCAGGGCTTTGGAGGGCCTGCATCACAGAGCAGTAGCAATAGTACCTTCACCTTTCACATATACAGCCATTTGAATTCAGTACAGTGCGTAGAATAAACCCTGTTTTGTCATCTTCTCTATAATTCCCTCTCTAGTCTAGGAAGTACACCTGAAGAAAAAAAAAAAAAAGAAAAAAAAGAGACAGTAGTGCTCATAGAGCCCTGCAGCCACGCAAGTGGAAGGGCCCAGCAAACTGCGACGGTCAAATTTGTTTCCCTGCAAAGATACCAGAGTAGATGCTGTATGCAGATCCACTTTATATTTTTGCATAGTATTGCAATTATTTCTGTGTTGGCTATAATTTAGACTATTATTGTTGGCTGTTATTTACAGTTGTATTTTAAAGATTGGAGGACAACCATCTGGAGTTTTGGTGCACTATCTGTAAGTCCGTAGGAATCGATCCACATGGAAAAGGTGACTTACTGCTCCCTTAACTAAAGAGCTGTTAAATTGCTGGCGATGCACTTTAATCATGCTGAGATCAGCAGCGTTACCGCCTGGAATCACCGAAGGGGGTTCCTGCCGAGTAGTTTCTTTCCTTTTCAGGTAGTTTCTTTCCTTTTAAGGTAGTTTCTTTCCTTTTAAGCATCTAGAGCTCAACAGGGTGCATTGTGGCACTTCCAAATACTGTGAATTCCGCCTCGCCTCGATTACGTCTAAGAACAAAATGTTTTGCTAAAAGCTGTTTTACTGAATTGTTCAGATCTGGCTGTACTGAAAAACATGTAATTTGTGTTGACCAAAAAAAAAGAGAGTTTAAGTTCCAGTAATGGGGTTGAATAGCCCTACCAAAATCCTGCTGAGATTTGTGTGCAGCTTCCGTTATTAAATGAAAATTGTTGTCACTGTGGCAGTTTGTGATAAAAAGCAAATCTGCAGGTTAACTTTCAGTGTAATGATCTCTGTGACTTCTTGTTCAGTATAACCATGGTGTTTACAACATGCATTTGCCAAGTTCTTAATTATTTTTAACTGAAATAGTTAGTGGACCTAAGATAGCACAATGTTACAGTTGATTTTCCTTCCTATAGAAGAATAAGCTATTGCAGTGCAACCACATTGTGTGTAGCTGTAACTGCCCAGGTTGTAGCTGGGGCTTGGAGGGAGGAGGGGTTTTGGTGCAGGAGAAGCGGAGAAGAATGTTTTATTTCTTTAAGTTAAGCCTAGGTATAAACAAGTAGCAACCTACCAAGAACTGCTCTTCTGACACTTTAGGAAGTGCAGACATGAGATATGGATTGAAGAACGAGCTCAAAGCATTCAGCTGCAATACTTAGGTTGCGTTGCAGATGAGATGGTGGCCAGGCGATGCTATTACTTTCCTTTTTTACAGATGTAACAGTTCATGTGGTGTCTTAATTCAGAAACCTGTTTTTTTGAAGAAGCTGAGCATTTACCTAAGATTGGTGTGAACTCGGTTTCTCTGGATTGTTGTCTTGTAGCAGATCATGCTGCTTTCCTCTTACAGTGGTTTTACTATGAAGTGCAATATGAGAGAAAAGGGCCTTGGTAACCTTTAGCAGTCATTGCTGCATGCCTGCTAGGAAAAGTGTTGAGTGCAGCTGTCTTTCGATGCCCAGACTAAAAAGATTTATCTGTTTCACTGCTTTTTTTTTTTCCTTTGGTGACATTGCTTGCTGTTCCTTGAAAACCTGCTGAAGTCTCACTAGCACAAGTGTACCTGTAGGTCAGGTTTCATTTACTAGATCTCTCAGCCAGAAGTTTTGGCACCAGTTATCCCTGTATAGTGCTGTTCAGCACATTATAGTGTGAAACCATATGTATATGTAAACTCTGCATTGGCAGCCAGAGGTACACACTTTGCGTTTACTCCTGAAAGTCTTTGCAGTTTAAGTCCCTCTTCTCAGTTACTCTGACTCTCATTTAGTGACATACCCAGCATATCAGCCATTGCTTCAGGTCTCTCTTCAAAAAATCTCAACGTCCCTCCTCTGCCAAGATGTATTATCAAGCCAATTTTAGGCTAAACAACACTGCTACGTGAATTACAAAGATAATTTAGAGCAACCCTCCAGAGTGCTTATTTTTTTCTGAATGGTGGGTTTTTTCAAGACAGCTATGAACTTTCTGCCTGTGTTCCACATTTATTATGGTGCATGACTGTGATGGAAACCGTAATGCAGCTTGGCAAGGTCAGCTCCATCCTTCTACGTCCAACGTGGGTTGTATCTGCTACTGAGAAACTGTTCCTGCAGAGAAAAAAGTGGCTGTTGGACAAATGGAAGTAGAAATGGAGTAGAAACTGAGCGTCTCAAAGCCCATCGGGGTAGCTTGCTTTTGCCTGTTTGTTCTGAGCTTCATCTTCCAGTCCTGGAAGAAAAACCAAAATGCTCTCACTAGAGGCCTTCAATGAAGGCTGACCATGTTGGAATGTACTGTTGATTAAGTGACTGAAGAAGGAGCTGGGCACTCTGGTCTCCGTTCTGTCTTTGTCCGTAACCTGAGCAAGGAACTCCCCGAGTCCTGTGCATGTTCTTTGGCCACCTGGCCATCGGCAAGCAGCATCAGGATTCTTGAAAAGGAGATACTACGAGGCTGTTCTGTCAAGAGCAAGAACGAGACCCACAAATGATACAGGGGTGACAAGCTGTGCATTTGGAACAGCTCTGGAAGCATGGATGACCTTCAGACAGCAGCTTTTCTGCTCTGGAAATCCTTTGGTTATCTATCCACGATGGCTGGAATTTTCCTCGCTCCTTTGAAAACAAGTGAGACTCTGCTTGTGACTACATGGTAGTGTCTGGCCAGCGAAACAGTCAGCTGTTGCCAGCTGGGTTACACATCCCATCAACTTGCTCCTTGCACCTTATTGTTATTAATACAGGCAGCTGTAGTGATCGCAGTCCTGGGTTTCTGTGCTGTTTTGTCCTGGTAATGTGCACTTGTTGCCCACACATCTGTGTGGACGCCCCGCGCCTACCACGCTGAGCAAGTGCTTCACCAAGATTTAGCCACTGAACTTGCAATGATCTTCAGAGTCTCCAACTCCTAGAAGACTGAGAATCAGTCAAACACACAAAGGTAGCAGAAACACGTACCTCTGGCAAAGATAAAGTCTTGCTGTTCTGGAAAGAATGATTTCCTGATGGCTCTCCCCAGCACCCATCCCTGCAGCCTGTTGTTCCCAGATAGATTTTTCTTGTTTAGAACAACTCTGCGTCGCAATGCACACCCACACAGTCACTGCAGTAACAAGCAGGAGTGCTTGCTAAACATCTGTGTGTTTGCACTATTTAAAAAAAGGCACGTATCACAGAATTGATGACCTGTTTTTGTGTTCTGCACATAATGAATTTAATTAAATTGAGTGCATTCTATGATAATGTAGGTTTATTTTTTCATTTGTACTGCATTTTGGGAAAAACCTTTAAGTAAAGACCTCTTACCAGTTATGCAGCCTGTGATTTTTCCTCTGTGTCCGCCTTTCCAGGTGGAGAGACCTCCCATCCCTCCCAGGACGGCTCTGCCCTGCAGTTGACGGGGGGGGAGGCTGTAGCACAAACCTCTGTTTGCAAAAGCCGGCAGGAATGGCAGCAGGGGAACAGCTTGGGCTTCATCTCCTGAGCCAGCTTGAAAAAAGCTCTTGTCGGGTTGCTTTTAAGCTGCTTCCCCAGTCCCGTTGCCACCAAAGGCTGTAGCCACTCCAGGTTCCTAGGAGGGACATCCACCACCTCATTGGCCTGTGGTAGTGCCGGGAGGTTTCTTAGCTCTTCTCCAGCTGGTTTTATGCTGCTTGCTCTGCGTGTGGGATGGAAGCAGCCCTGGCGAAGGCAGCGTGCACCCACTGCACCCCGGTGTGCGGAGCTCTGGGCTGGCAGCTCACTAGAGGGCACCCGCCGGCCGTGCACAGCATGGAGCTGGCAGCTCTCCTTGCCTCCAGGCTGTACAGACCCAGCCTTTATGGTGGCATAAATAGGTTGTGCTGAGGGACACCAGTCCCAGGGTTGGGGTTTGGCTTTCCTTATTTGCCTCTTGGTTTACGGTGCTGGTTGGAGATCCGCAGGCTGCACGTCATCGGGAGGAAAGACAGATGAGCTCGCTCTGCTCTTTTGTGTTGTAAACTAGCCCTGCACACGCCCAGCAGTGATTTATCACTAGTTGCTTGCCAAGGAGGAGATGCTGCTTTGTAACGAAGAGCATCTTGATTGCTTTGTAGGAAAACAATAAAACTCCTCCTGCAGTGTCGGAACAGGAGAACCAGAGGTGGTTCCCCCACCCCGACACCAAGGGGGCAGAGTTGGGTGTGTTTGTGCTCCTGCCCAGCTG